GGTCTGAAGGTAATCTCAACTGCTTGTTACGGTCAGTTCCAGATCCAACTCCTTGTTCTACTCTTTTGCCCCCTTCTCACTACTGCACTTGCCTAGTCTTAAAAAAAAAAAAAGAAAGAAAGAAAAAGAAAGAGAGCCTTCTTCTTACTCTGCTCTCAGTCTAGCTCCACCCTAGGGCCCAGCAAAAAGGAATTGTCTTAAATGAGAAAAGACTGTGAAGTGTACCAATTTCCTGGCTCACTCTCCAAGTCTAGATTTCCTTAACCTGGTTCCATTCTTCATTCCTTTAAATTCTTCACCCTGTTCACGAGGTCCATCCCTTCCCCCATCCCTGCTGTGTGTGCGGGGTGGGGAAGGCAGGTTTCTGCAGGGAAGGTTCCCCTCCCCTTAGAACCCCCCTAGCCCCACCTACCCACTGAGTCAGGAGCCAGGAATGTCTGTGGGGGCAGCAGACAGGTATGTCACCCTGGAGGTGTCAGAGGTTGATTCATCTCTCATCTCCACCCAATCTTCTCCTTACAGATCCCTGGGAAATTTAACTCTGTCTGGAGATAAAAGAGGGAAATTGGGACTCTGAAAAGCACAGTCTTCAAATCTGTGGCTAGGTACAGCATTTAGTACATCAGATTATGGTATTCAACAAATATTAGTTGAAAGGGAAGGAAGGGAGGGAGGAAGACACATTTTCTACCTTTTCTCTTTCAGAGTAAAGCTAACCTGAAATTTCCTTGTCTGACTAAAGAGGAGACTGACTTTTAGCTCAAAATAGATTATGTGACCTCTAGTATCATTTAGGAGTTGGGGGAAATCTTACCCATGTCTTAATCTCCCCCTTTTACTGTTTCTGTGACTCCACAAAGCGATGTGGAGGCTCCAGGATTAATACACAGGAAGGATTTAGAGGTAACAACCCAGAGTGAAGGCAAGCACTAGGGGATGTTTCTTCAAACTAAATTACACAGCAAGTACACTGCTTCTGACTTTATGTTTATCTGGGATGGCTTTGAAGGGGTCTCTCGTCTCCCTCCTTCACAACTGCTTCAAGATTTTGAAATGAGGAGAAAAAATTAAAATCATGCTGTGTCTTCTCACCCACAGCATTTTACCAGTAGTGATCTTTTTTCACTTCAGTTGGGTCCCAAATGCCCAGCCCTTCTCCTCATAGCCCCTCATTCTTAGCCCATCTGGACACCTGGCTTCTGGGGCTGTCTGGAGCTAGCTCCCTGGCTGGAAAAGGACTTGTGGGTTGGAAATGAGGCACAGGGCTTCCCTGATCCTTGGCAGGCCTGACGCCACTGAGGTGTGTGCTAAAGCTAATATGGGACTCTTCCTTCTAAACAGGGCAGGAAGATGCGTTGGGCAGCCCAGATCAGGTGTGTAAGGGCTCAAAAACCGGGGGCAAGGGAGAAGAAAGGGGAAGGGGGGGCTACCCAGTTTGCTAGAGAACTTCCCTTCAGGATTCTGGGGTAGCTGGGCCTCCCCAGTGCTTCAAAAACAGCATGGGCCTGAGTAATGCTGGGTGGGCCTGAAGCCACTCCCCTCCCCTCTGGATTCTTGAGAAAGTACAGAGAATCCCTCAGATGTACCTTCCCCTTCTCCTTCCTACAGACCCTAATGGGATCAGACTTCCTATTCACAGCCTGCTGTGGGGAGCATTTTGCTAATGCAGGCAGACTGCGTCTGCTTCAGCTCTGTAGGCACTGGGGCCTCACCTTCACTCCTAAGCCTCTTTGTCAGCCTGAAGCCTTGCCAATCGCTTGTGTCCCTCGTAAGTTCTTCCAATTCCATGCTATCTTCCAGTTGTGGGAGTCCCAAATTCAGAGCCAGGAAATGCATATATCCAGTGACTAGCAGGGATGACCAGGAAGGTCCCTTCTAAGGCACTCAGAGGTATCCTCCCTCCAGAAATTGTTTACAATTACCAAGTGAAGTCTGGAGGTAAGAGGAACAATTTCAGACACTATCGGCGAGATGTAAAGTGGCACTTTTTTGGAAAACACTTTCACAATGAATCCAGAACCTGGAAAACGTCAACTAATTTATTCTTAGGGCTTTATCACAAGTTAAAAATCAGGGACTCAGACAAAGATTTGGGTACAATGATGTTAATCACAGCACTATTTACAATAGCAAAAAATTGGGCTAACCATGGGTGAAACATGTTATAGCCATACCACAGAATATTGTTATGTAGACATCAAAAAGGTCTTATGTGGAAGTGTTAACTGAAAAAAACAGGATACAAAGCAATTATAAAATATCCCACTTAGCGCTGGTAACACTAGCATCATGGGTTCATATCCCTGTACTGGCCAGCTGCCAAAAAAAAAAAAAAAAATCCCACTTAGGGTTGGGCTGGTTAGCTCAGTTGGTTAGACTATGGTGTTGATAACACCAAGGTCAGGGGTTTGGATCCCCCTAACAGCCAGCTGCAAAAACAAATCCCCCTTACTTAAATACAATATCCACCCCATGTACATATAGAAAAAATAAGCTCTTGCTCTCTGCTCCACCATTTCTGCAACGTGATACCCTGCCATCACTGAAACCACCACCAAAGTAAGCGTTCACAAGATGTGTTTCCTGGACTTTGGACTTCTGAGCCTCTGAAACTATAAGCAACAAATTTCATTTTTTCATTAAAAAAAAAATAAGACTCAAAGAATACACAAAACATATTTATGCATTTGAACAGAAAATTTATTATTGCTTATAAATATTAATGATTATTTCTGCTATGGGATTACGGGTGACTTATTTTCTGTTTACATTTTCCAAGTTTTTACTTCTCTATTTTTATCAGGAAAAGAAAAAAATGATCTTAAGGATGGTTGCCATGTGCCAGCCACGTTGGACAATGGTCCTTCTCTTACCCTACACATTCCACAATGGACTGGCCTCACTTGGAACCCAGACTCTTCCTTTCTGCATCGTGCTGTCCCCTCCCACTCACCTTAGTGTATACACAGAGAACAGAAAGTCATTTTATTATCAGTGGAAGGTGGATAGGAGCTATATTCATTAGGGAAGAAAATACCTTTGCTGTCACACCCAGGCCTGAAAATAAAGTTCTGGATTATTTCCATCCATCTCCACTCCATGACTGCAGAGAATAAATGCTGAGAGTGCTTGGATATGAGGCAATAAAGTTCTAAATGACACCTTCCGGCCCCCACACCTGGTTTGTTTTGGTGAGAGCTGAGGCCTCTGTGAAGGTCTTCAAAACCCATGACCACAGCAATTGGTACGTTTTCAAAAACACAGCACCCACCCTCACGCACCGATGAGGGATTTGTACAGCAGTTTGGGCGTCAGGATTCCTGGGCTCCAGAACCCAAAGGTGACTCACAATCAGCCCCAGACTGTGCCTCCTGGCCTCAGTTTCTCCAGCTTGCTCTGTCGGTGTTTCCCACCTACTGTGCAGGGTGTTAATAGGAGTGAGGTCCTTTGAACTCCTCAGATGAAAGAGGCTGGGGAAGCAGCACCCAGTTATTATCCCCTGTGCAGCCAGGCGTGGGAGCTGAGGTTGGCTGCTTTCATACTGTCCCAGCCCCAGTGGCCTCCTCCTAGCCCCTCACTCCTCTGCCTTCAACTCTAGCTACCCAAACTTGAAAGCAAAGCTGTCACCCCATTTCAATGCCATTTCAGAACAGATTTTTACTAAACTGAATTCCTCTATCGCCCAAACCCCTAGTGACCTATCTTCTCCTTGATTTATGATACAGTAATACTTTACAGGTGACTAAATTTTCTCTCCTGATTGATACAAATCCTGTGGGATAAGGGCTGTGACTTTCACCAATAAGTACATCAAAGGAGGGACACTCACAATTCAGTCAGCAAAGCGGGCTATGAGAGTCAGGATGACACAGTTTGAACTCCTTTCTGTTTCCTCACTGTAAAGTGGGTAATGGCTTAGTAATATCCCCCATCTTGTTTATCTCCGGGGGTTGCTATGAGAACCGCATGAGGATGATGTCTGTGGAAGCACTTTATAAAATGCCAAATGCTCCATGTACGTTAGCAGGCTGGAATGTCTGCAAATAACCTCCGGCACGTCTTCCCCAGACCATCAGTCCCCTTCTGCCTCTAGGTTACAAATGCAAAAAATGAGTCTGGGTTGCCACCTGCTGGTTGAAAATATGAACTGCATTCGACCCGTTACAAGAAGAGCAGAGAAAGCAAACGCCCCTATTTCCCAACTTCAAGCTATCTTCATTTTAGCCACACCCTCATGACAACTGTCATACTTAGTATTTCCCTTTAAGCCACTCACTCTGTATAAATAATCTTACTTTTGAAGTAAACTTTTTTTTTTTTTTTTTTCTTTTTTTAAAGATGACCGGTTGGGCCGGCCTGTGGCTCACTCCGGAGAGTGCGGTGCTGATAACACCAAGGCCCCGGGTTCGGATCCCACATAGGGATGGCCGGTTCGCTCACTGAGTGAGCGTGGTGCTGACAACACCAAGTCAAGGGTTAAGATCCCCTTACCGGTCATCTTTTTTTTTTTTTACCCTTGACTTGGTGTTGTCAGCACCACGCTCACCCAGTGAGCTAACGGGCCATCCCTATGTGGGATCCGAACCCGGGGCCTTGGTGTTATCAGCACCACACTCTACCGAGTGAGCCACGAGCCGGCCCTGAAGTAAACTTTTAATCACTACTATAAATGGAAAACTAGCTAACGCCTGACAAAGATAGAGTGAAACCATGAAATAAATGCAAATAAAACAAAATGAAACAAAACACTAATAAGTTCTAGCTAGAAGTGTTGCCTGTGAAGGCTCGAGCTTGAGGACCATTGTTAAAAACTGAATATGAACAAAAACGCAAGACTGAAGACTGAATGTTAATCCTCCAGTATGATGGACCCTGTGCTTTGGGGAAACACTGATCTGTATGAAAAAACAGGACTCTTCCAAGGGAAGGTGACAGTCCCATGTTCTGCCCCAACCTCCTGAGCCTGAAGGGCTGAAGAAAAGCTTGGGAGCCACAAAAAGTAGAAAATAAACTCCTGTATTGTAGGGCATTCCACCACAGCCCGAGTGGGGCTAGTACCAACTTCCTGGTGGCGGGGCCCAGAGCTGATGGACACCACTGAGGGTGGGTGTGGTGGGTGCTCTGCTTGGTGCCGTTTGGCTTTCTGGTCAGAAGTCCTTTGTACAGCTGAGTGTTCCCTTGCCAGTCTCCCAGCTCTGGCTGGGAGGACTTGCTCTTGGGCCTGCGACCTGCTGAGCTGTCCATTGCTCACTGGGAGCCTCCACTTTCCCCAGTGCTGGGTTATGCACCCTGCTCTCCAGGGCCCAGCTTGTTGCTATAGCCGCATAGCTTCCTGCTCCACTGACTGGTCCGAGGGTGCCAGGTACTTCTCCTGGATGCCCAGCGTGCTGAGGGAAGGCATGTCAAGGATGCTAGTACAGGCAGAGGATGGGGAACTGGTCTGGGCAGGATCTGACCTCTACTGAAGTCCACCCTCCAACCATCTCTGGGATTCCTCCCATCCCTCTCTCTTCCTCATAATTATAGCTTCGGGCCATAGGCAATAGGGGCCAATTGGGTCTGAGAATCCCCCCAAAAACATCCAGACTCAAATGTTCCTCTATCTGCCTCTTCCCCACATTGACGAGGATCAAAGGACCAGAGATCACTAGTCCTCCAGCTTTGTGTTACGGTACTTGCTTAGGAGCCATACCATGGGGGTTCAAATACTGATTTTGCCACTTCCTTTTCTCATCTGTGAGGATCAGATGAGACAATGAGTCTGAAGTTCCCAGCACAGCGCTTGGCACAGCAGGTGCTCAATAAAAGTTGTGACTTCTCTTTTTCTGCCAAGGGAGGGAACTTATGGAAGCTCAAAGACAATGACAAATTTCTGCTTGGGCCATAGGGTGCCTCTCTCTCTGGGACAGCAGGAAAATGGAGCTGAAGGATACAAATCAAACTCACAAAGTTAAAGACTAGGATTCTGCTGATGGAGCCTTGTGGGGCCGGCTGGCCTGAGGTATGACTGTGTAGATGCTGTATCTCTGAGAACATCAGCCTCGAGGGCCTGGACCTCCCTGTCCTGTCTCACACATGGCCTCTTTGACCATGTGTGACACCCGCTCATAACCTTGGCTCTACCCTCACTGGTCACTAACCCAGCTCCAAAGGTCTGACTGCCTCTTGGACAGCCCTGGACGTCTCATGGCCCTCTCAAACACAGCACATCTGACACCTTTCAGCTCTTCCATCCATGGGACAAATCTGCCCCCTTCTCCTTTTCTTGCCTCAGTGACTAGCACAACCCTCCATCCCACTATCTAAGCCAGAAACCTGGGATTTTAATTTCTGCTCCACCTCCATCTATCCCATAACCATTCAGTCACCAACTCTTGTACTGTCTCCATTGTATTTTTCCAATCCACACCTTCTTCCTATTCTCACTATAAATGTTTCATCCCTTCTCACCTACCAAGACTGTAAAAACTCTCCTCCCTTCAAAATACATCCCTTAAATGTATTTCCTACACCTGGTGGGGCTTTTCTAAATGTACACCTGACTGTGTCACACCCTGTTCAACAGCACTGGTTGCCTGATCCCCATTGCCCATCCATGAGCTGAAGTCCACACTCCTCAGCAGGGCACTCGAGCCCTCCATCACCAGCTCTGCCTACCTCCCTTGCTCCCCTGAGTCTCCCTTTCTCTTTCACACACAACACACCAGGCAGGCTAAACCCCTTGCGATTCTCCCAAATGACCAACGGCCTTTTATTTCCGGGCCTCTGTAGCTGTTGCTCCTGCTCATCAGTATCATCCCTTGTCTTTAGTACAACCGACCCTGAAGCCTTCTAAGGGACCAGTTTTTGCACATAAAAGACAGTCGCCAGGGAGCCCAGCTGGTCACTATGAAATCAGTCATACACAAGAGTGGTGACTGTACCTCTGTGGCCATCCCTGAGCCCCATGTCTCAGCCTCTTGGCTACAGCCAGGATGGGGTGAGGGTAGAGAGCAAGGATACGAGGAGAAATGGAAATCAGCTCCAACTGCCGCAGACATCATGGCCTCCAGGCTGCGCTGCTCTTGGATCCCAAAACAGTAGCCATTGGCTTTATCCACAGCCTGCAGGACTCGCTGGATGCTCTCCTTATCCTGAGCAGAGAGGAGAGAAACAACTCTGTGAGTCAAACAGAGGTGTATAGAATTGAGGCTATACCAAAATACTTCCAACGTGCAAATACACCATCCTCCATCTTGCCCTGTGAAGCCTCTGGACATGTAGTTTTCTTGGCCTGGACAGTTCTACATGTCCCCAGAGGCCTGGCTAAATCCCATCTTTCCTGACCACCAACCCACCCAAATTAGAACAGATAAGTTCCCCTATGCACACCCACAGTCTCCTGGGCTTTATCCCTACTGTAGGTGGTAACCCCACTAGCTTACTAATGCCTGTTAACTCCTCTGCTTCCCCTATTTGACCATGCAACCCTAAAAGTCAGGGACTTGTTTGTCAAGGTATCCCCTATGCCTGGCACAGTACCACTGCTAAGTAAGCACCCAATAAATATGCGTGTTATTTAATCTATAATTATTTCCTCACTCACATATAGTGGTAAGAGCAGTCCATACATCAAATGATGGGAAGGACAAATCAAAATAATGCACATACAGTCCTTAGCACAGTGCCTAGCAGAGAAAGCCAAAAATAAGTGGGAGTTGTTATGATGAACATTATATAGTTCACCTCCTCATATTAGAGGAGAAAAAGTGTGGCCTTAAGAAAGGGAAGAGACAAGTTAGTTCAAGTCCACCCACTGCAGAAAGGAGTCTAACATGCACCTGTGTCTCCCAGGTTATCTTTGCAGGGTGCAAGGTGAGAGGCAGAGGACTGGGTACCACTTTGCAAAGTCAACAGGCAGTTGCCCAGTTGAATGGGCCTAAGACAATTGTCCCTGGTGCTGGTCAAGTCCTTTGCTGATGACTTTCTGAACTCACCATCTTCACACTGAGGAGGAAACGTGGAGACAGGACTCAGTGCCATAGGACAGGGCGAATGTTTGGTCTACCCTCTTTACTGGAATCCTTCCCACCATAGCCCCTGGTCCCAAAACCAAGGGGACCCAATTATAGTGAGACCTAGAACAAATACCATTGTTTTGTTCTGGCAGCTAACCAATACAGAGATGGAACTCTGGACCTTGAAGTAATCAATACCATGCTCTAACCAACTAAGCTAACCAGCCAGCCCCATTGTTTAAGCTTTCAAAGCTTCCTGTGCCTTTGGCTTGTTGAGCCCCAGGCACTGTTCAGAGTCAGCAGCTAAGGATTTAAGAGGCCTCTTAGTCCTCAGTACAGATGCTCCTCAACTTACAATGGGCTTATGACCCAATAAACCCATTGTAAGTTGAAAATATTGTTAAGAGGTTAAGGGTTTGGATCCCTGAACCAGCCAGCCACCAAAAAAAAAAAAAAAAATTATATATATATACATACAGACACTGGTAAGTTGAAAATGCATTTATACACTTAACCTACCAAACAACATAGCTTACCTTAAATGTGTTCAAAACACTTACATAGTCTATAGTTGGGCAAAATCATGTAATACAAAGACTATTTTATAATAAAGTGTTGAATATCTCATGTAAGTTATTGAATACTGTACAAATGTGTATCACCTTCACACCATTGTAAAGTTGAAAAATCAAAGCCATACCATCGTTAAGTCGGGGACTGTCTGTACCTGGATGTTCAGAGGGATGAAGGAGACCAGGCTATAGTCTTCAATGAGCTGCACCAGTTTCTCATTGAGTTGGTGGTAGTGGCGGAAGAAAGGGTCAGAAGCCAGGTGGTCAAGCAGGTAGGAGAGGTCCAGGACCTCTGTGTAGTAGTCCAGGTTGAAGGCTACGGAGAGAAACCAGGGCTCAGGAACAGCTGGCATCAGGCTAATGACCTGATGATTGGGGAATGGGTGTGGGGGATGGCTGGCCGGTTAGCTCACTTGGGAGAGCATGGTGCTGATAACACCAAGGTCAAGGGCAGGGATCCCCATACTGGCCAGCTGCTAAAAAAAAAAAAAGACCTGAGGGTTAGGACTGTATTTTCTTTTTCCCTTTGTCTTCATTCACTCAAATATTTCTTGACACAGTGAAATGAATTTACTATGGAGAAAATACCTGGTTTTACCTGCTGGTTCTGCCATTTACTACCTATATGGGCAGGTAGCTATCTCATGGGACTGTTGTAAGGATTACATGCTAAAAATCCCAGCGCCCGGTAGAGAGAAGTGCTTGATAGTTAAATAATGACATCAAACATGTTCTAAGAACTGCACTTGGTCCCCGCCTCATGGAGCTCACAATTAGATGGTGACCCCAGGCCCTGGTACACACACTATAAGGATCTGTAAATGCTGGTCAAATTGAATGAATGCTACATTCTAGCAGGGTGGCTTCTTGGGTAAATAACTTGCTCTTTCTGGGCCAGTTCCTTCTTAATGTAAAACAAGGTGAACAAACTAGATGATTCTGAGGTTCCCGATGCAGTTCTATAAATAACTTTCCATTAAAAGAAGGAAAGTGGGCTTCCCTACACTGCCCATTTCTGCCCAGAAAACTTAAGCATTTGAGGGTTGGCCAGTTAGATCAGTTGGTTAGAGCGCAGCCTTATAACACCAAAGTCAGGGGTTTGGATCCTCATACTGGCCAGCCACCAAACAAACAAACAAACAAAATTTAAGCATATGGGCTCCTCGGCAGGTCTGTCCTAAAGTGAGCTGAGGGACTCTGGGCCGAGGTGGCCCCTCCAAGTTGTTGACATCCCTCCAGGGCCTGACTAGCAGCCAGCTGGCCTCCCTGGACAAGGCCTCTGACACCTCACCTTCCTAACAACCTCTCTCCCTGCTCATGTGCTGGTCATTTTAACTGTTCTTCTCTAAGTTCCTTTGCGGCTAGGGGTGCTATTTAGGGAACTGATGCCCCCAGCACAGCACTAACTTGGCAGGAAAAAAGTGCTGCCACTGGGAGCCTGGGCAACTCCCCTGCCTCATACCAGCTGACTTTTTCCTCAATCTTCTCCACTTTGTGTGTAGCCCTCCGCCCCCTTTTTGTCATGAGCATACAGCCTCCTTCTGTGAGGACAGAAGGCAGCTGTCTACAGGCCAAGAAGTGGGCATGCACCAGACACTGCATTTGCCAGTGACTTGGTCTTGGACTTCCCAGCTTCCAGAACTGTGAAAAATACGTTTGTTGCTTAATCCAACTGGTCTATGATATTTTTGTTACAGCAGCACAGACTAAGATAAGGTCTTTACCCTTACTGGTCCCTGTGCTTAGAACAGCCCTCCCTTGGCTGGCTCCTTCTCACCACTCAGGTCTCAGCTCAGAAGCCTCAGATCAGTGAGGCACTCCTCAGTCTCATCACTCCCAGCCACTCACTGTCACATCACCTTGTTTTAATTCCTTTATAACACACATCACCATCTCTAGCTTCCAGGTCTTCAAAATCTACAATAGCACCTGGCATAGAGCAGCATGAAATAAACAGGCAGGACTTGGGACCTGCCTGTGGCTCCTATCACTAGGCCACACATGGTCCCAGAGGCAGCTTCCTTCAGCTGAGATCTCTGCTTCACTCCGAGCCAGCTGCTGCCCTACTCCCTGCCTGCTCATAACAGGAGTTCTTACCCAGCTTCCCATAGTGCTCAATGAGGTCCATCTTGGAGAGGAGATTGACGTGTGGCAGTTCCACGTGCAGCATGGTGGCCAAAGAGGTACACAGTACTGAAATGAACTTGGCTGGGTCAGTGCAGTAGTGAGAATCCACGAGGTGGACAGCAGTGAGCTGGGAGGGGAGGAAGAGACAGGGTGAGAGTGGCCTAGGAAGATAGGGAAGATCAGGGCCTATGCCCACCTCCATCAGACCGGGGGCTGGAGGACAGAGTGTAATCCTACCCATCAGTCTCTTCCTGCTTCCTTTTTGTTCTAACAGTACCCTCATTTCCTCCTCCCAGGAGACGTGAAGCATTTTTTTCTTACAAGATGCCTTGCACTGAGCTTCCCAGTGGGCAACAGGTTCAAATCCCACTCCATCTAACTCCATTTTTTTTCCCTTACTTTTGCCCGCCAACTTACAACAACAATCACTACTGTCACTTTCTACATAACTCCTTTCATACTTCCAAAAACCCAAAGCTGGGTACTAACACATCCATTTACAGATGAGAAAACTGAGGTTCGAAGAGATAAACTGACTTACTCAGACCACACAGCGAGTCAGTGGCAGAGCCAGAATTCGAACTCACATGTTTTACTCCGAAGCGACTCGGCCCCTACCTCGCTGTGTGACAGAGGGGCGTGGCATCTGTCCTCCTCCCTGTCTCAGTCCTCCATCTGCAAAATGGGCCTGCCCGACCAGAGACGCACCCTGAGGTCCCACTGCACCATCTGGGAGAAGATGCTGCGCAGGGCGCCGTGGTGCGTGCAGAGTTCCACCTGGCCAGGGCAGTCGAAGAGGAAGTAGTGTCCGCGGAGGGGGTCGAGCTTGGCACGCAGCCAGTCCAGGTTGGCTTCCAGATACTCCATGCAGTACAGCAGGCCGCCGTTGGGCCCTAGCCGCAGCGCGTCCATCACGTCGCCCAGCCCCACCAGCTCGCTCACGTCCACGGCGCACTCGTACGGCAGCCCCTCGTTCGCCGGGTCCAGGTTCACCACCGCCACGCGCCGTCCCAGCGCGCGCAGGAACTCACTCATGCCCAGGCAGTACGTGGTCTTTCCCGAGCCCGGCGGGCCGATCACCGCCTGCCCGAAGGCCGTGGTCGGAGCGGCCTCCGCCATGGACGGAACGCGGCCCGGAGCAAAGCAAGCCGGCTCAGCGGGAAAACAAGGCGGGCAGCCGCGTCAGAGCCGAGGCCGAGGGATTCCTAGATGCACTTCGTTGGGGGCCGGCAGCGGTGCCCGAGGGTTGCTGAAGGCGGGACAGCGAAGACCCACGCTACGTAAGGCGAGGAAATCACCAGGTACTGATGAGACCAGCCCTCTACTTCCGGACAGCGCCGGAAAGGGCGGGCCCCGGGGAGGAAGTCCTGCCCTCACGCTGATGACGTAAGCGGCACGGAGGGGCGTGGCAGCGTAGCCGCGCTTCTGCCACGGGGGGTGGGTCGGAAGGGTGAGACGGCTCTCCGGAAGGGAAAACTTCTCTCGGGATTTCCCGGGCCTTCCTCCAGGCCCCAATTTGAAGAGAAAGGGAAGTTCAATCGTAAACTTCTTTATTCCCCCGTTACACCGCAGGCCTGAGCCACCTCCTGCGCGCTCTCCGCTGCCCGGACTCAGCCAGCGAGGGTAGAGGCGGTGGAGGGCCCGCCCCAATACCGTCTCTTCTCTTCTAACCATCACAACTCCTCCTCTCTAACGGGTCCTTTTCCCCCTCTTTCTGGCCTTCATGGTGACCCCTTATGCCCGTCAACGAAGGTTGTGCTGATATCCTCAGTCAATCCAGCTTTTCAGAGGATGGGGGGAGACAACAGGAGAAAGCCCAAACTGGGTCTAGGGTCAGGTTAGACCAATGAGGAGAGGTCATTAAGCTCTAATATCCAAGGGGAGCAGAGGGCTTTTTGTAAAAATGCCCTTGAGGTAGAAAACTGGCAAGCTCAGAACAAAGCACCCTGAACAAGCCAAGGAGATTGCTGCTCCCAGATTCCTTTCTGCTTCAGTGGTAGAAAAGGCAGGGCAGAGGGCTGCCTTCATGCAGCTATGGGTGTTCCTGACCAAGGAAGCCCCCAACCCAGTCACTCAGGTTCTGAGGTTCTGTCCGAGGCACAGTTGGAACCCCTCACAAAGGACATGTCTGTCCGAAACTTCATGCTAGTGGGTGGCTGGCGGCGGAGCAGTGACTCCCTCTGGTCCTGGGGTAAGGGCTCATCATAGATGGTGGAGATTAGCCCCAGGCTGGTTCCACGGGGCCTCTTCATTTGCCCAAATAGCTGTAGCTTCTCTCCATGGTACCTGGATAAAAAAAGGTTCCCAATGAGAGGGCTGCTCTCACTCAAACCCCAGTAAAGCAGTTGGGAAAGGACAGGGGTGTAGCTACTATGTATCTGGTTTGTCCTAAAGACAGAAGCTTTAAATCTGGATCTTTGTTCTCTAGCCCCCTCATCTATCCATTGATAAACAGTGCCAGCAACCAAGGGTCTCAGATACAACTCATTCTGTCACTACAGACTCCCTAACAGCAATGAAGTCTAATTCCTCAGACTAGGGAGAATGACTCTTTCAGGAGATCAATAATCCTGTTAAGCCCTAGGGCTTGGTTTAAAAAAAAAAATAGTGCCAGATCCACTTTTTTCTTCTAACTCTGCTTTGAAGTTCATTCCCTAGGAGTGTCCAGCACCCATCCCAAAACCAGTGAGGAAGGAAACCAGGGTACAGCTGAAAGACTTGGGACTCCCGGGAAGTCCCTCAGCCACACTCACCCCAATCCATGCTTGCACCTGGGATGTTGGCCTTCTCCATCCAGGGCTTCTGATACCCCTGAGCACCTGCTGCCCAAGCCCTGGCCCTCGGCCCAGCCCTGCCGCTCCATCACCTTCCGCCCAATGCCCTGTAAAGGGAAGGGATGACTCAAGAAATGAGGTTCCTGGGAGTGGGAGGGAAAGGGATTGGGGAAGAATGAATGAAGGTCAAGAGGGAAAAGAGAGAGGTCAAATGGATAGGGCACAGTGCTCACTCACCTTGGTGTGGCGCTCAAAGGTGCCCACCTGGCATTCAGTCACGGAGCCGTCTTCCTGGCCATCACGGAGTCTACGTTCCAGACGCATTTGGACAGAATCACGGGCATCCTTGTCTCCACCATCTGAGGAACCAGATCCCAGTTTGCAGAAGGGTCCTTCTCAGCAGAAGGGTCCCTCTCAGCAGAAGGGGGAAAAAATCAGGTTTCTAGGAACCCCTCACAAGATTTACCCATTAATTTTCATGATATTCTCTCTCATTAGACTGGGAGCTCACCAAGAGTAGGAACCATGGCTCTCCCCCACTTACAGATGAGGAAGTTGTGATGCAGAAAAGTCACAGAGCCAACAAATTACAGGTGGGATTAGAACCCAGGTCTCACTCCAGGTCATTTTTGACTCCAGAATCTAAACTCTTATGAGCCTGAGTTCCTGACCATCCCACTCTACCAGGCCTGCCCATCAGACCCAGAATTCCCTGAGGGTTATCTCCATATATCCTTCCTCTCCTACACACAAAGGAAAAAGAATTTGTCCACAACCAGCACTTACTGTATTCAACTAGAGATGTTTTAAGAGGGGAACCCTCTCAGTGGGCCACCCCAAGGAATTGTTCCCCTGTCTCAGCCTCTGCTAAGAGTCTCTGACAAAGTGTCACTGTAAGGCCAGGGCACCAGTTCAACCTCCTAGTGATGCCACCCCTTGCCCAGTACCTCTGTCGTAGTACACACTCATGTCCACATCCCAGTCATCGGCTGTCTGTTCATCAAAGTCTGCAAGGATATAAAAGCATCCAGAAGATTGGGTTAAGCACTCTCAGTTCTGTTGACAGCTAAACCTAGACACATTCCAGAACTTGGAACTTTTGTTTGTATTTTTAAATTTCTCTCTGAGGGTTATTCAGAATTTGGGGGGGAAGGGGGAGGTGCTTTTCTCTCCATCCCACTGATCTCTGACTCCTAAAAAGAATGACTGGCCTCTCATATACAATAAAGGTATGCCTATTCCCTAGCCTTTTGTTTGGGCTTACTGCCAGGGTACCCCAAGAGAATGCAGCTGGGATCACCCCGCCCTTGCCTGGGTGCCAGCATTACCTCCTTCTTCCTCCTGCCAGAACTGGGCATCAGTGTAGAACACCAGGCCTGGGCCACCCTTCTCCCACTTGAGCTCGATCTCCTCCTCAAAGAGTCGCTCTTTGGTCCGCTCCTGCCCGGTCACGTCCTCGTGCAGCGCTTCATGCCGCTCCCACTCCTCACCCCGGTCATCGTCCTAGGAGAAGGCAGGAAGAGATGACGTGCTGGTCTAGCTTCCTGACCTCACACCCAGAAGGAGAGACGCTCGGGGCACAATAAGCATGTGAGACTGGGGCCTCAACTCTATTCCTTCAAATTTCTCCAAGAAGCAGCACATATTTAGCCCTTCAAGCCTCAGCCAATGCATCTCTCCATCCCCTGGTATTTCTCAACATAGTTTGCTCCTTTCCCCACAAGACTGACTCACTCTTATCTCTTCTGGCCATGTTATTCCCCCTGCCTGAAATATCTGCCCTCCTCTTCCACAGTCTTCTCTTCTCCATTTGGTTGAATCCTCCTCATCCTTCCTCAGCCTTCTCTTCTCCATTGGATTGAATCCTCCTACAGCCTACATGAACCCCCTCACACTTAGGCCCACAGCTCTGTCACTGGTCTCTGAACTCTCAGTACTAATCAGTACACACTGTTAAGGCCTGTATACATTATGTCATAAAGAAGGGACAAGAACTAACACTTATTGTCTACTCTGTATCAGACCCTTCCCATAACTTTACTCCTTTAATCATGCCAACAACCCTGAGGAAACCTAGGTTCAGAAAAGTAAAATAGGGCCGGCCTGTGGCTCACTCGGTAGAGTGCGGTGCTGATAGCACCAAGGCCGCGGGTTCGGATCCCATATAGGGATGGCCGGTTTGCTCACTGGCTGAGCGTGGTGCTGACAGCACCAAGCCAAGGGTTGAGATCCCCTTACCAGTCATCTTTTAAAAAAAAAAAAAAAAAAAAAAGAAAAGTAAAATGACTTTCCCTAGATAGTACACCAAGAGAGTGGCAGAGCCAGCATGTAAACCCCAGTCACCACACCATGCAGCCTCTCCAGAGGTTGGTTCTCTCTTCAGGGAAATTTTAGGCTTTTTGAGGGCAGGAAATGGATCTTAGAATATGTTTGGAATCCTGCACTAGTCCTTGTCTTACAACTGCATTATTAGACTTGTGGAATGATAGGATAATTCCTGGCTTGAAACCCTTAACTCTGTCCCGGTTAAACTCCAAGGGGCCTCGGGAATCACTGCTACAGAGCAGGTGCTGGAGAAAAGTCAGGCCGTACCACACTAAGGATGTGGTCCAGATGTGTTACCAACTCTCAGTTGGGAGCTTTGAAACATGATGAATTACTTTTTACCCAGAGTATACATTAAAAAAAAAAAAAAGTTTTCCCAACAAATTACACCTCACTTGATTTTATGGATGAACAACCAAGTTTGGAGAGAGGAGTCAATGAGATGTCTATTTCACTGATTAAAAGTTAGAGTGGAAGCTAGTGTTCAATCTACCAACTCAAAGTCAGAAAACAGAGGTGACTGGTCAGCCACATGATGAAAGCACACAGAGGTTAGAGACGCAGCGAGGAGGACTGGGCTCACATCCCAGCTCTGCCTCTACTTCTTTCGATGATCTTAGGCCAGTCAATGCACATCTCTTGGTCAGCATGTTTTCGTCTATGAAAAGGAACTCTCCTTATATTCCTTCTGAGGGAATGAAAATAAGACCTATTTGAGAATCTTCTGATAAAAGCTCTGGGTCCTCTCCCTAAAGAAACACATATATGCACATGCAAATGTGGTTTTACATTCAATGTCAAGGAGTTATATTCTCTGGAACCCTCCTGAGGACTCCAGGTTAGGAACCCTTGTAATATACAATAGAAGAGTGAGATTATTAGTGCATTGGCCTTTTTAAGCTGCCAGTAAGAACAGGATGGCACACTGTACTCACGTCATCTGAATGAGACTTTTCCTCCTCCTTTTCCCCCTCCTCCTCAGGCTCTCCGCAGTGGCTGGCTGGTATATCTGCCAGGCAGGTTCCCTGGGGTATTTCCTCACCCTCTGCTGTGTATACAAGCTCTTCCTGCTCTACAGTCTCTGAGTCCTCGTACTTGAAGGGCACATTGCCGTAGCGCCGAGAGGAACCTGTCCTGGGAAACTGGAGCTGCAGCTGGGTGATGATCCGAGGGGGTAGTCGGCAGGCCCGGATCAACTCCAAAAAGACCCGCAGGGGTGTCCCCACATTCCCATTGGGCATCAGCACTGGTGGGTTCAGCTCTGGCAGTTGCCTCAGGTCAGCCAGGGTGAAGGCTTCATTCTCAGCCTTCCGAAGCTGGAGCTCCTTCCGAGTCTTAAAGGGAAAGGAACCCAAACCTTGGGAAGGAGGAAGAAGAATGGATCTTGAAACCCAGAAACCTCCAGCACCGCTTCAGCCAGAAATCAGTCAAGGTTTAAACCCATTAGCCTAATATTGTTTCTCCCTTTCAAATTTCTCCAGAGTCCCTTCCTCCTTTCCCAAACAGAACACCTAGCAATTTCATGCCATTTCTCATCACCTCAGCCAGGCACACAGTTTCTTCCAGATCTGGCTCCTGCTGACCTACTGATTCTCAACTGTCACTACTTGCCACTCCCTGCACAACCTCATACCATGTGTTCCAGCCACATCAAACAATTTAACATGCCCTGAAAGTTTCATGGGCTTTCACATCTCTGTCTGTGTCTTTGCAAATGTCACTTACCTTGAACACCATTCTTTCCTACACACTCCTACTTATGTTTCAAGATCCAGTTGAAAAACCACATTTTGGCCGCTTTAAGGCTGGAGATGCTGAGCACACAGAGCAGGAGCTGGCAAAAGCCACAGCTGTGCCCTTCAGATGAAGTTGCTTGGAGGCAGCAGGGGAGAAGAGGGCCTTGGTGGCCCTAAGGCCAACAAAACAACTGATAGGGTTCCTGTAAACCCACATAGGAGCAAGGAGCCACAACAATTGAAAAAAAGGAGCCACTCAGAGGCCAGTCAGTCATTGCAAGGGACTGGCGCATGGCCCGTCCCATGGGAAGTGTTTGAAGCATGGTTGGTGGGGGAGACGGGCCCATGGGGGAACGTTGGGGCACAGCAAGGACAGCTGACCGGCACCCCGGTCAGCGAAGGACCACTCAGAGGAGACTGGTAAGGAATATATAATTGCATGGGGTGCTTTCTGATGAGAAGACTTAGGCCCAGATCAGAGTTTCTACACAACCCAGGTGCCCCAGAGAGCCAGAAGTACCTATAAAGTCAACCATTAAAACCTGAGCTGCACAAAAAGCCTTCCCTTGGGAATCAGCAGCAAAGCAGCAATTTAGCTAAATCACACAGCTCAAGTACTGGTCCCCACAGAAAGTTCCCCCATTTTAGAAGTAAGCAAAGGACAAAAAATTAGTTTAGGCCCAGGCACACTGCCAGTGCCTCAGGGCCAGCCCGGGGACCTGAGGCTTGGAGCCAGGGACCAGACCCCCGTCCCACAACCAGGCACGCCACTAAGGAGCATGCCAAAAACATCACCTCCATGTGAGTGGACCACCACAATAATCATGACTGCCATGAAAACGGCTAGACGCCACAACCACCACGCAGATGGTCTGCTAGCCACTGGAGGAGTGCATTGACACAAGGAGAGTTATCAGCAGAGATCGAAAAAAAGAACAGGATGTCTCTCTCCACAAGCGCATCCCAGACAGAAAAAGCATCTGCTCTACGATAATATTGGGGGACCTGAACACACCTCTCAGCATTGGACAAGATCATCTAGGCAACAAATTAACAGAGTAACCATTACTCTTTCAGAAGGAGAGAAGAAATCTAGGGTTATCAGAGGTGGGAGGGAAGAGGGAGAGAGAGAGAGAGGGAGAGATTGGACAAGGGGCATAAAGAATAAGTACGATTTGGGCCAGCCCGTGTCTCACTCAGGAGAGTGTGGTGCTGATAACACCAAGGCCACGGGTTCGGATCCCTATATAGGGATGGCCGGTTAGCTCATGGTGCTGACAACGCCAGTCAAGGGTTAAGATCCCCTTACAGTCATCTTTAAAAAAAAAAAAAAGAATAAGTACGATTTGGGCTGGCCCGTGTCTCACTCAGGAGAGGGTGGTGCTGATAACACCAAGGCCACGGGTTCGGATCCCTATATAGGGATGGCCGGTTAGCTCATGGTGCTGACAACGCCAGTCAAGGGTTAAGATCCCCTTACAGTCATCTTTAAAAAAAAAAAAAAAAAAAAAAGAATAAGTACGATTTGTAACAATATATATGCTAGTAATATTGCTTTGATCAACATATGTCAATGTTGAACCCGAAAAATATGTATAATCAATTATGATTCAATAAAAAATTTTTTTAAAATTTCCACAGTTCCTGATCCCTCTAGGAAGTCGGTTCCTTCCTCCTGTGTCATCTCACAGCACTTGGTGATAAAGAGCATAGGCTCTGGAGCAGAATGCATGGGTTTGTATTGTGGCTCTGACACTCAGGACCTCTGTAACCTTGAGCAAGTCACATAAATTCTGCATCCCTCAGGTTCCTCACCTATCAAATGGGAGTAACAATAGCTCCTATCTCTATCTCATAGGATTGTTGTGAGGGGTCAATAAAAATGAAAGGCTTAGAACAGTGCCTCCTAAGTACATAGAGCATGTTCCATAAATGTTAACAATTACAATGACATGTCTGTAATAATTTCCTTTTTCCAAATCTGTCTTCCTCTGTGGATTCTGAGCACAACTGTATCCACCCACTCTCTGCATACCCAGCTAGAGTCACACTAGGTCTAGCAATATGAGCATTTGTTGAATGAATGAATTGGAGGGCTCTGAACTGTGTTCCTATTTCTTTTCTTTCTTTCTTTTTTATTTCCGCCGTTGTGTTCCTATTTCTCCATCAAAATGATTTTGGGGGGCCGGCCCCGTGGCGCACTCGGGCGGCGCTGGGAGCGCAGCGACGCTCCCGCCTCGGGTTCGGATCCTATATGGGACTGGCCGGTGCGCTCACTGGCTGCGCGCGGTGCGGGCGACACCAAGCCAAGGGTTGCGATTCCCTTGCCAGTCACGAAAAAGACAAAAAAAAAAAAAAAAAAGATTTTTGGGCCGGCCGTGTCTCACTTGGAAGAGCGTGGTGCTCACAACACCAAGTCAAGGTTTAAGATCCCCTTACAAGTCATCTTTAAAAAAAAAAAAGATTTCCCATGAAAGAGGGAACTGTCCAGAGAAAAGAGATTGTCGCTTCATTTGCATCTTGCCGGAAGGACTGGGTGGGGAACAGAGAGTGCAAGACAGACAGTAAGAGCGTTAGAAACCTGATTTCCTTTTTTTCTTCTGTATCAGTGCAAAATCAACCCCTCAGAAAGAAAAGGGTCTTAGAAGGGACCTAATAAATTGGAAGATCATCCGAATAGGCCTCTCTCTGCTTTTTTTTTTTTTTTCTCCCTGCCATAAACTAACGTGTAAGTTGAACCTGAAGCTCTGTTCAGAAATGACCTAAACTCTTTTTTTTTTTTTTTAAAGATGACCAGTAAGGTGATCTTAAACCTTGACTTGCTGTTGTCAGCACCACGCTCTCCCAAGTAAGCGAACCGGCCATCCCTATATGGGATCCGAACCCGTGGCCTTGGTGTTATCAGCACCGCACTCTCCCGAGTGAGCCACGGGCCGGCTTTGACCTCAACTCTTAAGAGTTGGAACCTGAGGCCTAACTTATCATCATCACCTCTCAGGAAAGGGGCCTCTGTTCCAGGGCCCCTAAGCCAGTCTGTTATCTCACTCGTACCTGATGCCTCAGTAGGTAGTCGAAGTCTGCGGATGAGACAGCGACCTGGCAGCCAAGTACCCTGAGAATCCAGCCACCGCCGGCCCGAGTACATGCGAAGAAGCCTCTGGGCTTGAGCCAACCCCCGTACCGAGATGACGCAGCAGCAGGTACGGGTCTGGACCGGAGCGGAGTCCCGAGTGGAGCGATCCTGGGCATCGGTGGCCGAAGTCTGGATGAGAAGCTGGCCCTCAGAGGCAGGGTCAATAGGAGTTAAGGCAAAGTCGGGGGCGGCCTGGGTAGGAGCCCGCTCAGGCCGATGCCGGTAGTGGAAACAGAGGAAGCCACCACCGTGCTGTTCCCGAAACTGGCTAAAGTAGTTCCGTAGCTGGGCCGAGCGCAACACAGAAGGAATACCGCTAACTACGAGGTAAACTGCCGCCTCCTCCTCCGCCTCGCTGGGCGCAGCCATCTTAGCTTGTCACATGAGCGGCTGAAACCAATTCTCGCGAGAACACCGCGAGCCACACGCGTCGTCTGCGTTGCGCTGTTGTGAAGCACGTGACTAGTCCATCCTGGTTGTGGTTATGGAACCTGGAGGTGAGATGTCCTCGGAGAGGTCGTTCAGGTCCCTTTCCCACCAAGGGAAGCTGGAGATGATGGGAAAACTCACCTGAGAAATGGACTTACAGAGCTCTTTCATAAGGCTGTAATGAGGAACAAGTAAGAAGCCTGCAGGAGTGGTCATTTTTAAGATATTTAATTGTGGATCTCCCAAACCTAATCTCAGTCTTCTTCAGTTCACAACCTTCTCAGTCGTTCGGCCATTTATTCTTTCAAAGCATGTTGATGAACTTCCACAAATCAGTAAGAAAAAGATAAACAAACCAATAGAAAAATGGGCCAAAGGTACTTTATAAAAGAGGAAACAGGTACTTGTTCAATTAACCATGAAAGATGCTCAATCTCAGTGATGAAGGAAATGCAGTGAGACTTACTTCACATCCATCACATTGGCAAAATTTTTAAAACCCTCTAGTGTTTGTGACCATGTGGCGCAACCGGAGCTCTCATACACTGTGGGTGGAAGTGTAAGTTGATACAACCACTTTGGAAGGCAGTTTGGCATTATCTTGTAAAAGTGAAGCTACTCTATTTTTGACCCAGCAAATCCACTTCTAAGCAAATACTTTTTAAAAATTCTTGCACATGTTTATCAGGAGATGTATTTATAGTGTTGAACTTTACCCGAGCCCTGTGATCCTGGAAAACAGTGAAGTTTAAGAAATCCCCCCACCTGTTTTGTGTTCTGAACACAGCTTACTGCAGAGAAACACTCTTCCCTATATGACTTAGATAAGACTCACGGAGGCCCCCCTTGTTTACCCATGACAAGGCCGGACACAGACTCCAAATTCCAATTCTTTGCCTCGTGAAGGCTTAGATGAACTTCTTGTCCCCACTGGTCAATCAGAACAAACCTTTGGTTAAATTTCTCTCTTTCCCTCAGGTCCCTGAACTTTGGCCCACCCTCAGCTTGATCCAGCACACAACTCCTCAACAGCCCCTCCTGAGAACAGGCTGGCTTCGGGGTAAAACATTCTCTGGCATACTGTTCCATCGTGCCACTCCTGGTCACCCCACTTCCTCATACCTACTTCTTTCTAACCTTATTTACTCCCGTATGAAAGAAAAACCTTTTTTGCCTTACCCTTGAGACACTTGCAGATCTTATGGTCAGAGCTATCCCCACTGCAATAGCCCCCTTCCCCCTTTTGCAATAGTTCCTTTCTTCCCTTGCTGTAATTCTTTCAAATAAAGTCTCTCCTTACAAAGTCCAGATTTACATATTATTTGACAGTATATATGACTATTCTTAGCGTCAGTGTTTGTAAGAGCAAAAACTTGGTACATTGTACTAATAATCTCAGTTTTATGAAAAAAGCAAGTTGGAAAACACTGAATTATTCCATTTATATAAAGTTAAAAGATGCAAATAAAAATATTTTTAGGGTTACATAAATAAGTATGCCTTAAAATTAGAAAGAAAAGTGATGATTAACCCGAAATTCAGGGTAGTCACTACTTTTGGGGGGAGATGATAGATTTGGAAGGGGACTTCAAAGTTGATGGTAGTAATGGAACAATGATGAGGGTTCATTGTACCGTTATTCTTTTTACTTTACATATGCTTTATAAATATTTTGTTTTGCTCAATATTTAATTTTTAAAAAAATTAAAGGGAAAATAACTCATTTCAGAAAGTAATACAACCAGTGTTACTTTGTAGTGATCACAAATATACACCTATATGATGAATAAAGAAATAAACAGTTGTAACGAATGTTTGGATAATTGCACATAAGGACATTGTATCTGGATTTTAACATCTGCTGGTGGAAGTGTAGATTGGTACAACAACTTTGGAAAACTAGCAAGATCTACTACAGTTGCACACATTATGACTTGGTAAATCCTGTTCTATATAGCAACAGATCTGCAAACATCTCTGCATCAAAGATGTGTAAGAATGATCCTAGCAATATTATTTGTAATAGCCAAAGTAGGAAACAAACCAAAGGTTCATCAGCACTGTCATGGATAAATGAATTGTGGTATAATGGGATACTTTACGACAATGAAAATGAATAGGTTACTGTCATCCAAGCAGCTGGATGAATCTCATAGACATAATACTGAGTGACAGAAGATAAACACAGAAAAGAACATGAAGTTGCATATACTATGTAAGATTTAAGATGAAGAACCTCAGTTACGATGTTAGAAACTGGGCTAGTGGCGAGCTTTGGGGAGGAAGGAGAGGGTAGCTATGGGGAGGGTTCCTGGGGGGTTCTCAGTGCTCTATTTCTTGAGCTGGGTGATAGTTACAGGGATGTACTCATTGTGTGATAATTCATCAAACCGTACTCGTATGATTTGTGCACTTTTCTGTACATTATACAGAAAATGTTTAGTTAAAATTAACCCTTTAAGGGCCAGCCCGTGGTTCACTTGGGAGAGTGTGGTGCTGACAACACCAAGGCCACGGGTTTGGATCCCTATATAGGGATGGCTGGTTAGCTCACTTGGGAGAGCGTGGTGCTGACAACACCAAGTCAAGGGTTAAGATCCCCTTACTGGTCATCTTAAATAAATAAAATAATTAAATTAAATTAACCCTTTAAAATCTGGAAGTTGAGATATAGTGCTTTATAGCAAATAATAAAGGCTAAAATAAAGATGATGTGCTCTGGAAGAGCCGTTAGATGACCAAGAAGTTATGCACTTATGCAGTTATTCACAATTGCCATTTGTGGAACTAAATTTCCAGGACCTAGCATGATGTGCAGTACACAGAAGACTGCCAGTAAATCGTCACTGACAGAATGAATACTCCTGGCACTGACATGGGTTGTTGGTATGGGTGTGGCTAGGGACCTTCTCTACGGAAAGGGGGCCACTTCCCTGGGGGAACACGCAGGCCATATTTCTCATCAATAACTAAAACCTGAAGGTAGTAAAGACTTCATTTTTACTCTTCTTTCACCTTACAGTGGGGTGGGGAGGAGAAGGAGTCTAGTTGCTGTTATTTATTCTCCAGTTGATCATCCCTGACTTTTAGAGACTCGAGATAGTGTAGTATTTAAGAGCGTGGACCCTGAAGACAGACCATCTGAGTTCAAAACCTGACTCTGCCACTTACTAACTGTGTAACCTTGAGCATGTTACCTAACCTCTCTGTACCTTGGTTTCTTCATCTATAAAATGGAGATAATAACAGTACTTCCAGAACAGAGTTGTGAGAATTAAAACCATAATCCATGTAATGTGTTTAGAGCACAGCTGCCAACAAATGTTAGCTGGTTATTGTTTAGTAGCTACACAGAGTGAGTCACAGCCTCACTGGTTTCCTCTGGTCATGCCCTGGCAGCAGTAGGAGGTCTCCTTTGTCAATCCTGATTCCCCTGAGACCTTAGCCTTGCCGCCTCCACCAGTTTCTATTTTTTTTTTATTTTTTATTTTTTATAAAGATGACCGGTAAGGGGATCTCAACCCTTGGCTTGGTGTTGTCAGCACCACGGTCAGCCAGTGAGCAAACCGGCCATCCCTATATGGGATCCGAACCCGTGACCTTGGTGTTATCAGCACCGCACTCTCCCGAGTGAGCCACGGGCCGGCCTTCCATCACTTTCATTGGGATTTTCTTTCTCTGCTTCCTTGTCCTGTGATGATGTGGTCCCTGTCCACCTCTCCAGACTGGACTCCTGCTGACCTGGGCTCCAAGTGCCCCAGACTGTTTGCAGTTAGCTAGGCACCCCTTGCTCTCTGACATCTCTGTGCCTCTGTATATGTCATTCCCTCTGTCGGGAATGCCCATCCCTTGGTTTGCCTAACAAACCCTTATTCATTCTCTTTAGTTCAAGCCAGTCAGCACTTGGGTGAAGCATTTTTCCTACCTCTAGGCAGATTTAATCACTCCTGCCGCCTGTTTTACAACCCTCCATCACAGTTCAGATCATTCTGTATTACAATTACGTATGTGTCTTCATCTGCCATAGACAGAATGTTCCATGAGGGCAGGGACTATATCTTATTTATTGTGCCCCAACCCCAGTATCTAGCATAGGGTCTGGTACAAGTGGACACCAAGAAATATTGAGTGATGGCATGAATGGATGGAGGGGGAGTGGGTATTGCTTTTTGCTGGCATCATAGGTTCAAGGGCAGGGTGGGTCTGTGCAGGGCACACCATGTGTCAGCTTCCTGACTGCTTAATAAGCAGTCAATGATTTGGCTAATGAAGGTAGAGATAATGATGGCAATAAAATAGTACCCTAGGCTAGCGCAGAGCCACAGCCACTCTCCTCATTTCCAGTGAGTCATCTCTGGCTGGACCTGGGGACAGGGATTATAAATGAGAGGTAGATGGTCAGTAAACAGTGGCTGAGCTGGCTCCAGACAGCCTGATTCTAGCCATGACTCATACTAGTCTGTGCTGGTGGCATCTCAGGCTCCAGAGTCACACAGGTCTGGGCTCAAATCTCAGCACAGTGATCACCCCAGACCTTGAGTAAGTTACATACCCTGTCTGAGCCTGTTTCTTCCTCTTACTTCCCTAGAAATGAGACACAAGTCATACCCCAGGATGCTGAAAATGGAGATACAGTCCCCCACCTTTGGAAAGCCTGCAGTCTTAATAATGCAAGATCCAGGGCCGGCCCATGGCTCACTCGGGAGAGTGTGGTGCTGTTAACACCAAAGCCCGGGCTTCGGATCCTATATAGGAATGGCCGGTTCGCTCACTGGCTGAACGTGGTGCTGACAACACCAAGCCAAGGGTTAAGATCCCCTTACTGGTCATCTTTTAAAAACAAATAAAAAATAAAATAAATAAATAAATAAAAATAATGCAGGAGAGAGCACTATTGCCATTATTACATGGAATCATAATTATCTCTTTAGTTTTGCCATATTTGTCTCTCTTGCACAAGGCTTAGAGGTAGGGCATGGGGAATGACTCAGGCATACAGATAAGAAACAGACAGGAGTGTAGCTCCCCAACCATGTGGAGGGATAGGGAAGAAACTAGAAAAGGAACAAGGCAGAGTTAATAAGGGAAGCTATTTGGATGATGGAAACAGCAAACTAAGTTCAAGAAAAAAAGGCCAGGGTGGGGCATGGAGAGGAATGCTTCCTAATGGTTGGTCGGAGTTGGAGGAGGGGAGGGGTGAGAGGCAGGAGATTCAGCCTGAGGATTTGGAGAGGTGCAGCAGTTAACGAACGGAGGCAGTTAGTGAAGGGCATAAAAGAGGTAGAATGACCCCAAATCCCCCAGTCTGCTGGATTTGGGTCCTATGGGGGAAACAAGTTTTCTGCTCTTAAAAGAGTGGCCCCACATGCCTGCAGGCTTAGATGGGGAGGTCTGTGCCAAAAGGCTGGGGAGGGCAGGGCAGGGAGAGGCCTGGGGCCTGGGGCCTGGGTCTGGGGGTCTGGGGAGAGGTGGGGGATGCAGGACTTGTTTTGGGTTCTAAAGGATGCTTCTATTGGGGGATTTGATTAGATCTTGGCTGGGGGGAGTTACTGAGCACTGTGTGGCCTGGCTGAGAGGAGGGTGAATGTTGGGGTCACCATGGGGAAAAGGGGTGATTGGTTAGTTGAGGTCCTGAAGACCAGGCTGAGCAGTTTAGCCTGGATTTGCAAGTTCTGGGCAGACCCTAAAGATGTGCAGATGGAGGTCTGTCTACTCTGGGGACCACCTTTCCCTTTACTGTGACGTAGGGAAGACGAGGAATGTGCCCTGGTGGGAGGGTGTCTCTGTGTTGTGTGCCCACCTTGGGTGCAGGGGTGTGGGGTGGCTGCCTCTGTTGTGTGAAGGACACGGGCCAAACGGCCTTGGCCTTCTGGGCACCAGGGCTCCAGGACTTCACACAGCGCCCAGTGAGCCTCCTGCTGCAGGTGCCCAATGTGGGAGGAGGCATGGAGGCCGGGTACGTCTGTGGGCAGAGAGGGCGAAGAAGGCTGGTGAGCACCCCACCCCCGGTCACCAAAGGGTGATGCTGGCCCAAGATCCAAGGCCACCAGCAGCCACCCTTCTGTCCCCTTTGCTTGGCCTTCGAAGTCCCACTACTACCTCGTCCATCTATTTAGTCATCATTTTATTCGTCCATCCATTTATGGGGAGGCAGTATAGAGTAAAGGTTTAGAGCCAGGCTGCCTGGTTTGAGTCCCAGTGCTGTCACTTATTAGCTGGGTGGCCTTGGGTAAGTGGCTTCACCCCTGTGCCTCAGTTTCTTCATCTACAAAATGATGATAATAATAGTACCTGTCTTTGGACTGGCCGGTTAGCTCAGTTTGTTATAGCACAGCCTTATAAAACCAAGTCACAGTTCAGATCCCTGTACTGGTCAGTACCTATCTCCTAGGTTTGTGAGGTTTAAATGAGCTATATGCAAAACCCTTAGAGTAGGGCCTAAAGATGCTATGTGTAATATGAGTATTCACTGCTATTATTACAATTAATTATTATAATTTACGCCTGTCAGGAGGACCTTTTGGTGGGGAACTCTCATCTTGGATGTTTTCGGGATTACAAAGAACCCTATCACCATCTGTTCCTCTCCTGGCTGAATTCCACAAAGACTCCCTCCCTGCCCTCCCCCACACCCCCTTCATTCCTCTCCTCTAAGTGATCTTTCTTTTTTTTTATTTATTATTTAAAAAAATTTTTTTGAAAAAGATGACCGGTAAGGGGATCTTAACCCTTGACTTGGTGTTGTCAGCACCACGCTCTCCCAAGTGAGCTAACCAGCCATCCCTATATAGGGATCCGAACCCGGGGCCTTGGTGTTATCAGCACCACACTCTCCCGAGTGAGCCACGAGCCAGCCCTTATGTGATCTTTCTGAAACCACTTTTTACCTTCAGAACTTTGCCACGTGGTCTGCCCATCCTCCCCTCTCCCCCACTCCTGTCTTCCTTAAGGGTCAAGGTAAATTTCTCAAGCAGAGTGGCAAGGGCTAGTCTCTGGAGTGAATAGACCTAAGTTCCCATCCCTGCTCTGCCCCTGCCTGGCTGCATGACCTTTGACTAGACACTTAGCCTCTCTGTGCCTCTTCTGTGAAATGGCTATTTGATGAAAGTGGTGACCCAAAGAGATAAGGGATGTCAAGCCCTTAGAAGGTGCCTTCCCTGGCTGGGCCCTGGCCCCCATCAGCCTTGGCCCCCACCCAGGAGTGTCTGGGAGCTCACCAGGGTTGAAGAGAATGGTTCCTTTCAGGTAGGCATACTCCTTGGGACCCAGCTCCAGGCTCCAGAAGGACTCCAGGCAGCACTGCAGCCACTGCACAGCAGCCAGAGAGGGCTGGGGCCTGTCCGGCAGCTGGCCGCTGCCCCCACTGCTGCTGGGCTCCTCCAGCAGGATCTTCTTGAGTATGCTGGGTACCGGGGTCTCGGCCACCTCAAAGGTCACAGTGTCTTGAGCCAACCCAAGCAGGAAGAGGGGGCCCCAGCAGCCCTGCAGCAGACGCCGTTGATCCTGGGTGGGCAGCTGGCAGAAGGATGGCAGGTTCCTGAGGAAGGCCACTGTCTTGGCCAGAACTTCCAAGGCCTCCCGGCAGGTGCGATGAGGTGCGCACAGCTGGACGGGCCGGTGCTGCCTGCACAGGCAGTGGCTACGGGGTGGGGGGACAGCCCTGACACTGGGGCTGAGAAGTGCGTATAGGATGGCTGGGCGACCCGCAGCACCCTGGCATGGACAGGCTGGTTGGCTGGAGCTCATGGTTGGGATCTGCTCCTACTTCCTCCCAGCTCTCTGGCCCTCGGTTCTGAGCTCTGGGTGCTATTTATGTCCCCAGTGGGGGAAGGGGGGAATGCCCGACAACCTTGACTCCAGAAGTCATGTTCATTGAAAAAAAACAACACACACACACTGACCCTGGAAGGCTTGATGGGGAAGTGGTGGGGGAGGGGACACTGGGAGTTCCACGTGGTGCTGGTATCACTTCAGTCAATGAAATGGCTGGTGCAGGGCACAGGGCTGGCTGGCTACACCTTATCGGATGACTCAAGTGGATAAACAGGGTCATTAACCCAGGCTGTACCAGGGCACCAAGGCTTCAGGTGCACAATCAGCAGGTGACTGTGGCAGGTGGCCCTATTGGTGCCCTTCTTGTGTGTGCACAAGACCAGGACTGTCGCTAAGCCAGGAAGCCAGCCCCAGAGCTGGACAAAGCCCTGAACATAAGGCCCAACCTGGAAATGCCTTATCGCTAGCTTGTTTGCCCAACCTTGGGGCCCTGCTTCTGTTTTCAGCAAGGAACAGGTTGCAGGGAAGGAAGCCAGGACCCTGGGGGGCTGGGAGGACTTTGCCCATTTTTCAGTCTAGGAGGTCCCCTCCCTCTGATTCCAGTTATAGGGGCCCTGCAGGAATAAGGTCCTTCAGACATCCCTATCCCCGGCCTAGAACCCTACATCTTCTAGAAGGCCATGTCTGCTGATATGTTATATCACAGAGTTATAACGAAATATGGCTGCCATTTATTGAGCACTTACTATGTGTCAGGTACTTTCCACTCTGATTTGAGAGCCTCCCTGTGAGGCTAGATTCTTACTTTGTGAAACTCAGAGAGCTGAAGCAATTTGCCCAAGGACATCCCACCAGGAAGGGACAGAGCCCAGATGTGTCTGACTCCAAAGTCCTTGTTTGTTCTCCTGGACTCACTGGCCCAGCTGTGCAGCCAGAGCCTAAGTTTTGCAGAGCTGGTGGCTAGCTAGGCACCCACCCTGCTGCTGCCTGCTCTGCAACGTCCTCTTGTGATTTGGGCAGGAACATTGCTCTGCTGCCACGTGACTGCTCTGTCCCGTGCATCTGTCTCAGGGCATGGGGTACAAGAGGGGGTGGGGCTGGGGGCCTTGGTTGTGTCATGTTCCTGGACCTTGGCCAGCCCAGCCTGGAAGGTCTTCTGCTGCCACGCTGTTGGGCAGCCTGGTGCCCTGGATTGAGAGAGAGGATCTGGCTCAGCAGCCTTGGCAGCTGCTCCTGGCTCCATCACTTTCCAGTTGTGTGACTTTGGGCTGGTCCCCAAACCTCTGTGAGCCTCCAGTACCTCATTAGGGACAATAATGCCTGCCTGCAAGGCTGCTGTGAGCACAAAGGGAGGTCCTGAATGTCAGATTCCAAGCAGTTTCGGGCATACAGTAGGGGGACCTTACTCCCTGCTCTCGTCTACCTAAGGAACTAAGTACCAGCAAAGAGGCATGCATCTCTCATTTGGCTGTAAATAATCTTAATCCTTACATTGATAAAGTTCCTTTCATATCATTTTATCTCACTGAATCCTCATAGCATCCCCTCAAAGGAGACTCTGGAGTCAGACTGCCTGGGTCCGAATCCTGCTTCATCACTTAGCTGAAGGACCTTGGGCAAGTCACTTTCTCTTTCTGGGCCTCAGTTTCTTCGTCTTTAAAATGGTGACAAGAATATCCAGAAGAGGATATTGATTTTATGGGAACTGAAACTTACACAATTTGGAGGGTTCTCATCAAGAAAAGAATAGAAAATCAGGTATGAAACTGAATATTGGGCTGGCCAGTTAGCTCACCTGGTTAGTGTGGTGTTATAAATGCCGAGGTCAAGGGTTCAGATCCCCAAACTGCACATCCACCAAATAAAAAATGAAACTGACATTTAGAGTGAAAAAACATATCGTCAAGTTACAAATTAGAATAAGCTGACAGAAAACACAAACATCAGAAACCCAGGAGAAGGGCTGGCCCGTGGCTCACTCAGGAGAGTGTGGTGCTGATAACACCAAGGCCACGAGTTCGGATCCCATATAGGGATGG